CATCAGCACGCTGCTTACATCTGTCACGCTCCTGTGGATATCTGGAATCATCCGAATCATCCGGATCACCCCAATCATCTCGATATTTGCGGCTGACGCGATCCTCATGGTATCTATCTTCAGGACGCTGCTTACATTTATCACGCTCCTGTGGATATCTAGAATCATCCGAATCATCCGGATCATCCCAATCATCTCGATATTTGCGGCTGACGCGATCCTCATGGTATCTATCTTCAGGACGCTGCTTACATTTTTCTCGTTCCTGTGGATGTCTGCGATCATCGCGACCATCCCGATCATCACGATATTTATGATTGTCAGGATCCTCAGGGTATATACCATTACGCTGCTCATGCCCGTTGCGGCGTTGAGAGTATTCGCAATAATTTCGATCATCGCGATGTTTGCGCTTGTCCCTATCATCGCCACGTCTAAAACTGTCGCGATATTTGGCATCATACTGTTTTTGTTGTTTTTGTTTTTCTTCTTCACATTGTTCGCCCTGATCATCATAATCGTAATCATATGAATAATTGTCATTCTTCCTGCTACTGTATTTATTTGATGCATACTTTCCAGTATTGGGTGAGGAGTCTGCATTCTGCTTATGTTTGCCACCTTCTGTTAAGGAAGAAACTTGTCTTTGAAATTGCTCATCAGTCAGTATATTATTACTTTCTTTCATAAATCGGTGATTGTCCAATAATTGTTTTACTGCCTTTCCGACACTACCATCTTGGTCACCGATTATTGCCATCATGTCGTCCTTTAATGATGAATAACTAATATCCATCTGTGTGTTCCCCTCTCCCTTTAATAATCTCATGCTTCGTACACTCGATGCATTGTTCCTGCTGATCTTGCTATTCCTTGCATCAGGAAAGTTATTCTAAAAGAATCAATAAGAAGAACATATGGGAGGGAGGAATTTTGAAATACATGAATTAGAGAGAAAACACCACCTGATGATGTTTCAGTTTATTGATAGGAATTCAGAGTAGCAGGAACATGTACATGGACATTTTTTTGAAATTAACTGCTATTTCTAACCGAATTGGGGTATTCACAATTACTCCATACTAAGAGGGAAAGTATGAAGGATTTGGCTAAGAAACAGAATGAGTTATTCATTTTTCCTATACTCCGAATTTACTTAAACATGATAATATGCTTCTGGTAAGAAATGAACGTTTAAAACATTCATGTTTCGATAATATCTGTTCAGAAATGAATTATGTACACATTGTTCACATGATGGTTATATTTTACAAATATTAAAACCTTTTTTGCAAGTTGGGCTCTTTTCAATTAAACTTAATTATACATGTATATATAAATTTATGAATACAGAAATATATATATAAATATATGAATAGGAATGTATAGATATATACTATATAAATATATACATATACAAATATATACATATATATGGAATTAAGTATAATTCACTTTAGATGTAAAAAAAAGGAGATAAACTAACAATAGTAAACAAAATATGAGTAGTAATTACTTTACGCAAAATATGGATATATATATAAACTGGCAAATTAAATTAAGTCCTCAGGTTAATTGGCCAATATACAGTGCTAAAATCACCATTCAACAGAATAATAACAAATTAAAAAAAAAGAAGAAAAATAAAAAAAATAAATAGAAATATATTGGAAATAAAATTGTTCTTATGTTTCCATTTAGCTAGAAAAGTAGATTTAGAATTGCTAAATAATATATAAAATTATATTAATATTTTAGAAAAAAGAATTATAAAAAAATCTTTTGATTGCTGAAAAGGAAAGAAGCAGGAAAAAAAGAATATTTTTGTAACTAAATAAAAAATCGAGTTATTAGAAAATAAGAGTAAAAATATAATGAAGTAAAGAAATTAACGAAAACTACATTATTATCCCCTGTCCCAAAATAACGCACAAAATAATTTTCAGCGTCGTGGTAAGAAGTAGCAAATAAAGGAGAAAAAGAAAAAAAAGGAATTATATAAGAAATAAACCATTAGGGCCTTTTTTAAGTTTCATGCAGATTATAACAATATGGAGTATTACTGGAAATATTTTGGTCCCAGAAAAGGAAAAATATAATTCTGTTTTTCTTTCACTACTATATATTTATATATGGAAATGACAATAAAATTTCCGTATGACAATATTTTTTACTATAACTTCTGCCTTATCATTAGCTTAATAAATTATTAAAGACATTATAATCAAATTTAATCAGAAAAGTAATTTCGTAGGGATATACCTAAATTCACGTAACATAATTTTTTGTGAATTTACATAAATATGTGTGAAAAAAAAAAGAAAAAAAATTGTCTATTAAAGTGGCATAAATTCTAATTAAAATACTTCTATTCAAGGAATACTTTTTTATTTCAAAAAGAAGAAAAAATATATTAAGTACAACAATAAAGGAGGAATAAGAAGGAATTATTTCAAAATTAAAGAAAATATATAGAGGAGAAAATCTAAAAAACGCGTATTCTTGTTATAGTCAAAATTGTAAGAAACAGATTAAACACAAAATTTAAATGCATTGGATAATATTATTATTAACATAAAGTAAATGAAAGGAGGTTCCCTCCGCCAGAATGTGCCATTTCGAAAGGGAAATTTGAAAATTCTAATACGTCGTACTTGTTACCGTTTTTGCCACAGTTGGAGATTGATAAAAAATACTTATATATACCCATTATACTATTATTTAAGTATTTTTTCTTAAAATGTGAAGAAGAGGCGAAAAATGTGGATATTTCATGTGAATTATTCATTAAAACACACGGATCTCATAGAAACAGCATTTTCTTTTTCTTTTAACGATGATATACATGCGTATTTATTATTCCAAAATAAAATGTACAACCTAAGTAAACAGAATTTTTAATATTTCTTCCTTTGAATATATCATTATGTAAAAAAGTAGAAATAAAAAAAGATTTCATATAGGTATAAAGTGAAGTAAATAACGATATTCATATTCACTAAGACGTTGTGTTCTAGGTTTAGGGTTAGAGGAAATATTTAAATATATGGAATAATAAGATGATTAAACTATGAATAAGATCTTTACCATGAAGTCAGCATGTGAAATACTTAAAATAGTAGAGAATGTTAATGTATGGAATATAACATTTAAGTGTTATATGAGTAGTTCACTGGAATCATGCCGTACCGTCTTTAATCTAGGAAATATACGGACTATACAGGAGTAGATGCTTTTGGCATGTCCATTCCTGTCTTATGTGCTCAGGGTTTCGAAAATATGTACAGAAGAATAGAAGCCTCGACTGTAAGAAATTTTCGTCTCCACAATATTTTGCATATTAGTTGTTTCCCTCTACTTGAGACGCCTCGGTATTTTACTAGGGGAGTATATTCTATACTATTTGAAGTGTCTAGGTCATTTGATTCAGCCGCTTTTAAATTTTATCCAATGGCAGAGGAAGCAAATGAGCGCATAAGTAATTTTCTCATATTATATTTTGAAACAGCCACAAAAATCAAAATTTAGTTAAACAGAATTGCGTATAAATACTTCTTTGAGAAATTAATAGTATAGCATCGTATGGTAGAACTTATGACAGGGGGAAATTGTAAGTTTATGTGCACTAAGAAAGAGGAAAATATAAAATACTGCATTTATCTCCCATATAAACAGGTGCAGCCAGATGTAGTTGTAATGTGCGAGCAATCTGAACAAGCCCCTCCCCACGCTGTGTAGCCGCAGCACGAGTACCTGTATTATATTATTCCCTTAATTGCTGTCTGAGCGATTATCGAGACAGTTAAGGTTTTGCTGACTCTCTTAATGTTTTTTATGAAAGTGCAAATATATGTAAATATATGCGAAGGGAGAAAAAAAATTTCAGTACACACTCCTCAGTTTTTAAAGAATTTTGCACGAAGAAGGATTTGCCTCCCGTCCCAATTCTTCCCTCCAGCGCAACACACCTTCCAAGACTCGCTATGTAACCCTGAAGGGGAAAGGAAGGACACTGAAAAAAATAAATATACTTGCGGCAATGTATCGTTATGGCAAGGAGCAGAAGGGAGCATATATCATATGATACTAAGGACCTACTACGGTGCCAACGGGAATATCAATACTTAATACAAAATTGCGACACAGTAAAGAATTTATAAATCAGGAAAAAAGGAAACAAAATGTCGGGAAGATAATAGTAAATATAAGTACGCAACTTCTGGGGCAATATACACAGGAGAAGTAAGAACTAGCGTTAGAAGATTCTCTCAAAGTACAAGCCCAGGAATCCATGAGAAATGGAAGTCTGACATGTGAAATTACCTAACAAAAGGGCCTAATGGGGACAGATGCAAACATTTGCCGTCATCTCTATGGACAGAAGCATGTGCTGCATATTCCGCAATATAGACACCGATACACCTCTGATAGATTTAAGAAACAGAAATGATTCTATGGGCTATAAGGGGAACCGAAAGAAAGAGAGGAATTTCCCCAATGTAATGTGGTGTGCTGTAGTGAAAGATAAGACAAACAAACGAATAATCCCTTGTCACACAGACAGACAAGTTTAAGCGACGGATGGATTTCAAAGCAGCAGGAACGTATGGGACCGTATCCTCAAAGTTGTTGGCTTCACCCATTTATCAAACCGTACAAACAGGGGACGCCCAATTATGTAACGCATGAAGCCATCAGTAACACATGCGCATCGGGATTCGATAGAACGGAATCAAAGATGGATAACCAAGGGTCATGTGCACTTACAAAAAAGAAACTAATAAAACAGGTGCCGATACGCGTAGTGATCATACTTCGGGATTAATGGAGAGAGGGATAAGATTAAAAAGGCGGGAAGTTATATTGGGATAGCCACCTAAGGAACTCTTTAGGCGCTGAAAATTTAGAAAAACATCCATACATAGGAAATATGGACAGAATTGTCTTCGACTGACAGAAGAAGAAGAAAAACTGTTCAGTATAAGCCCCAGACGTGTAGAAGCCTTATATAAGGGACAAAATGCAACCGCATACCCAAGGACGCTGATTACAATAATAATGGCGTAATAGGAAAACACATCCCTTTAGGCAAAATATAACACTGACACATATTTTATAGAGATGATGCTCAGAAACCAAAAAGCATGACTGTGTCACCTTTTAGTACCCATCTTATAAAAAGAGGAAGTGAAATCGGAACAGAGACTAACTTACCTGACTATCATCCTCTGTTTTACTTAGACAGATAACTGTTGGCGAAATACAAAGGGAAGCATGATTTCTAAGAATTCATGTTTCTCCATAGTGATAAACGTTTCACTATTTTAGGTATTAGAATGATTAATACTAATATGGATCCTGCATCATTAGCAACCCTGAATGTGATGAAATGGTCTATCTTGCCTTTTTTTGGGGGGCTAACACATAATGAGCTCGATGTAATATAACCTCGGATTTGTACATTTCGGGATTTCTACATATGGAGATTTCCATTTTTATGAATTGGAACTTTTGGACATTTTACCTTTTTTTTTTTTTTTTTATTAAACGGAAAATAACAATAAAAGCTGTTCCCTAAAGAAATATATAGAAACAACAGTGATAACAAGGATTCTGATATTTTAATTCGTGACACATGGACCAGGTGATCATTCCGTAGCAAGTTAAAAGGGAACATTACAGGACGTCACCATTATTATTGGAAACGGAACCTGGGTTCTGTGTGTTTCAGAGAGGGGAGGATTCTGAACAATTGAATCGTGGAATTCTTGAGACACTATATTTGGAGAGTATGTTAGGCGTGTGAGTCAGAGAATAATGAATGTAGAGAATTTCTGGTTCAGGAGCAGATCGGATGATTTGGCACTTTCGGGCGCAAGCCTTTAGATTCCTCCATATTAATTCCAAAATTTCTCACTTAGGATGAATGAGGCAACAGCACACCATCTTTCACGACAAATGAATGTGCGGGAGGGATCAGGGCATTGTACTCCCCAGTTGATGAGTACAGATTATATCGTATTGAATACCATTCTTTTTCTTTATAGCCTCCTTCTACTCCCCTCGGAGCGCACGCTTAACACGTTTCGCGCGTTTCCTTTCTTTTTTCCCTTTCGGCGCTTTCCCCCCTTCCTCCCATTTACAGCTTTTTGGCATAGTCGCCCCTTTAGGAAGGACGATTAATCTTGGAACCTAATAAGATGTGGGAGGATGGAGTGGCTTGTTTTTTCACCAGGCGTATTAACCACGTGAAGATTAAGAGGATGATTCCAGTTAGAGATAATAAATTCTGTTTCTTTTTTTTTTTTTTCTTTTTTGTTATCGAGACTCCGCAGACTTCAGAATGAGACGGATTTTTTTTTATGAGATTCTGCAGAATAAAGGGACAATTTCATGCAACACCCTCCTTCATTCTGTGAATCGCGGTATAAAATAGCAGCTTCTGTTTGTATGCAGAAATTATAATAGAGAAGAAGCATAAGGACCCACTGATTCCGGGAAATTGCCGCTTTCTTTGAACAGTGCTGAATCCCTGTTTCTGATTTTCCTGGCGCCACTCCTGGCCATTAAGAGCATGGTGGGAAATACAAACGATAGGTAAGTTGCCGTATGTCACAGATTATCAAGAAACAAAGGAAGAAAAGGGAACGAAAATCTACCTCCAATGAGTCCTATTCAGTTATGTGTTGTAGATGAACATAGACTGAAAGGTCACTCCATCAGGGCATGTCTCCAAAGGATTCAAGATATCTGTAGCAGTATTGTTTGTTCCCATTTATAAGAAGTTTACATTATGTAATTTTTGGGTTTTCGCAATATGATAATCTGTTCAGTAAAGCATCCTCACATGAGTAGGAGTCCACTTGCAGTTTCATGAGAATTGTCTTCAGGTGCTAGTGGAGCCATTATAATGAATGAGCATCATTTATTATTGAATACAATGCATCATGATCTGTATTTCTCTAGTCACATTTCGATAAGTCCTATTTCTTGTTACCTGTCTTAAGAAGTAGTAGGAGCTTTCCCACAAACATATTTCTATGTTCTTTGTGAATTTTACCACCGAGAAGAATAGTATTAAACAGAAAACAGATGAGATGGAAATTTAAGACGCCTGTGGAAGGGAGGGAATAGAAAACGACAAAAACACATTGAAAAATAAACATAATTCACAGGAACGGAATAGAATGCGGCCACCGAGATAAGAGTGCCGAAAAAGAAGCAAGCGGAAGAATGAACACAGTGAATCCGGAAGGATCATGGGATAAGTAGAAACAACCGGAAGAGGGAGGAAGACTAGTCAGACTACAATCGCAGCACTAACTGCGGAACAAACAAAACAACTCAGGCATGCCAATCCTAAAAGAGATGAACGAGACAGAAGACAAAGAGACAATTGAGAAACCACAGAATTACAATAAAAGCAATAAGAATGAAAAGAAATAAAGTAAAACAAGAGTCCGATAGAACGAGGCCCAAGGGAATTCCAAAAAACTAAGGAATTAGCCCGAAACATGAATAAGGAACAACCAGGGCACAGGAAGAGTAACAAAGCAACCTCAACACCTGGGACGCCAGGAAGAGGCCGTGGGAGGAAAAAGCAAATAATACACAGAAGCATTGAAGGGGCCACAACAGAATGAGCCCCCTACAGACACAGGCAACTATACAATACACAAGATGAAAAGAAAATACACTGTAGCACAAACCAGAACATCCTTCTATAAGTATCATAATATAGAGAATGTTAATCGCGACATAAAGAAGAAAGGAGGGGAAGACGCATAGGGACTGAAAAGAAGCGGAACCTCCGCAGTGGACGGAGAACGGCAGATAGGAAGAAGAAAAAAAGAAAAAGATGGGACAAACAGGAAAGTCCAAGAAGAATCTTCCAGTAGAGAAATATGAGGCGCCGGCCAAATAACAAGGGAAAATTATCATAAAGCAGGAGGCCCTAGAATAGGGGAGAGAATAACAGAAACAACATAAAAGAATAAAGAAATGGCATAACAGAAAGGCCAATACATTCCTTTGAGGACAAATAAGAGAAAAAAGAACAACACGCCACAAAAGTAAGAATTCTGTAGAGAAGTGCGTAGATGTGTCAACCCGGACGCTCAGTGGTAAGAAAGTGGAGAAAGATATGCATCTTCGTTTTAAAGTTAGGAGAATGACATGAACAGCATCCTCTTAATTATTCGGATAATGAAAATCTTCTGTGTAGAAGCTTAAAAATAGAAGCCATTTAAATAATCTCCCAGCTGCTTTATGTGATTGTAATCTCCATTCCATTCAGAAACGACACAGGAGACGAAGGATAGGAATATATACATAATTAGACGAAAAACATAAGAAAAATCAAGAAGGATTTGATATGTGCAAATAAGAATACTCTTATGAAATTATAGTAATTGATGTGCGTAGCTCTTGAACTTCAGAGGAAGAGATGATAGAAAAACATTAAAGGAATTCTATTCGCCACCAGAATTAAGAGAAACCCATACTACCACAAAGAATGATGACCGGGAGAGATTTTGTGAAATATTTAATAAATGTAACTTCTGCTATATGAGAAACTGAGAAGTAAAAATTGTCGGGCATGCTTATCCAGGAATATACATGAATTTCTAGCTTAGCGATTTAAGGCGGTGCCCATTGTTGTTATACGGCTCGATACCCAAGTCATTTTTATCATTCCCCATTGTGAAATCGTACAATTGATTGCTGCAGAGTTCTTTTTTATTTTTTCTTATATGTTCTTAATCTGTTAAAATAGAACACTGTGTAAGAGTCCAAGATTTTTTTAATTTTCGGAATTTTTTATTGCGTGTAAACTAAGACGGAGGAAAACTAAAAGCCAATGAATGGATAATTAATATTTTTCATGGCAAGGGATGGATCGGGACATTTAATGAATAATTGAGCAATAATTCGGAAATGAAGTTGCACTTTATGCACCATATGTAATATTTCTTGGGAATATTTTAAAATGTATCCATATGCGGCATCGGAAGAAGTGGAGGAATGATAATTTCGTGTGCATTGGGAGAATTAGGATAGTGCTCAATTTATTAAATACGAAGATGAAACATTCGTACTGACAATTTCTCTATTTATAATGGATTTATTGAATTAAAATATTTTATTTTTACCACAGGAGGATTTTTTAGATTACTAAGAGTTTGAAATATAAGAGGAATGAGCAGGATATTTAGAATATATTAGGCGAAATTGACAACGGGTCGTTTAGAAAGTGCACTGAGTTTCGTGGCATTAAGTTGTAACAGGGGGCAGACTTTTTAATGCACTCAAAATAGATGAGGAAATTATGTCAGTGTGTGTGTATTCGGCTTTGCTTCTTTCTGTAGTTTTTGTTTTGGTTTCTAATAATTTTTCTCTTTATTATTAAATATATTATGTTCATTTTTATACAATATTGATAATAAGATCTGGCCATACAGGAATTATGAATGATTAGTGACAATTTTCTTTTTGCGTTTTATTGAAATACTATATGGAAAAAAAGAGGAAATCACTAAAGCAGACGGATATACATTATTATAAGCAGTCTAAATATATTAGAATAAGGAGAAATCATAATATAATAACAAGAGCGTTGTCAAATTATAAAAAAAAGTTTTCTCCCTTGTGTCACTATAACAAACATTAAGGGGATATTAATGAAGCTATAAAAAATGAAGAGAAGATTACGCAGCATAATAATAATATTAATACAGTTGTGCATTAGAGATAATGGCGTACTATCCAAGGAGGTTGTGAGTGTCGCAAATTCAGCAATACAGGAGAGCTGCACAACAATGCATACGCAACCTAAACACCAGGAGAACACCGATATCAAGGAAAACAATCAGGAATCACGCAAACCCAATGTTGGAAAAGAATTATATCAGAACTCAGACGACTCGAGGCATATACCGAAAACACAAGGACAAGGAGGATACTGTATCGGAAACAATGAAGGACACACAGACTCGTCTGAGGCTGCCCGAATAAGTAGTGATATAGCCACTCACCTAAGAGAAATACAACACATAAGAAGAATAAAGCAGGCAATAGAAGTAATGGAGGACCGCGATACTCGGATTGAAAAAGCAGTGGAACGGTGCGAGGAAGTAGCAGAACAAGCCATGAACAAAGCAATTCACTACTGGAAAATAGCAGGAGACGCGGACAGAACAGCTTCCATACCGGAAATATCTAAGATCCGTGATATGATAAGAGTACATGTGAAGCAGGCAACTAATGAGGCGAGAAAACAGGAGAGCATTACAAAGGTCGCAGCGATAATTGCATCAGATATCCTGGCGTTCTATAAGGCGATGAGAACAGCGAAGTGGGCGTATAAATTAGCCGAGATTACGAATAACAGAATTATACAATTATGCGTAAAATATAAAAGGAACAGGAAGCCCATCCCAAGGAATTTAGTTAACAAACGGAATCTACCCCAAGGAGTCGGCATAACCCCTGGACGGGCGCGTTCAAGGTCCTCGACGAAACCTGAAACAGCACCTAAAGGAGAATGGAAGAGACTTCTGAGAGAGACCAAGTCTGGCCTCGAGAAACTGAAGGTTCTATTGCTGTATGAGGCCGACGAATGGAATGGATTGAAGAAACCATTACCAGAAATATACCTAGGGAAAGAAGAGGGAAAGAGACTCCTTAGCCTTAAGGATACCGTAAAGAAAGCAGAGACACAGGCATTAGAGTATACAGCACAGGCGGCATATCTGTTAGCTGAAGAAGCGACGATAGAGGCAGAAATGAAGAGGGAAGAAGGAGAGCGTCTGACAAGAGATATTGAAGCATCAGAAGCAGATGAAGAGAAAAAAGCAATAGCAAGGGCTGCCGTGAGAGACATTAAGAATGGGGTAGAGGCTTGTAATGACTTACTAGATGACGCCAGGGGGGCATTAGAAGAAACAGGGAAATTGGAAGAATTGGAAGGAAAAAGGGAACAGTGTTCAAGGACCATAAGAGATGCAGAATTGGCTTTAGCAGCAAAGGAGAAAGCCGTGTTTGAATTATTGAGAATAAAAGGACAAGAATTCTTAGAGCCGCAGCATATATCATTAGAGGGCGAGAGGGAGCGGATAATGCAAGATGACAGGGTTGTTGAAGAAATAGAAGAGAAGGACACGGAACAGAAGGCTGTATTATCGCCACACACAGCATTGAGGTGCGACCAAGGACAACAGCAGGAGGCTCTCGAAGAAGTTGACGAAAACTTGATAGAAAATATGAGGGGCCCGGAAAAGCAGGAATATGATAAGGATATGAATGAAGGAGTAGAGAAGTCTCAGAAATGGGACTTAATGAGAGAAGAAGTCTATGACTTGATACACGAAACCTTATAGGAGGAAAACAAGCTGTATGAGAGGAGAAAAATAACAAATCCGTGAGTGTGCAAGAAGAACAACAACATAACCAAATTGCTGAGGATGCGGTTAATATTTAGGTTTGGGTCTGACGTTTTAAGGGTTCACGCTTATGTTTAGCTTAACGTTTAGGTTTACGATTCCCAATTAGATTTACCGTGGACATCCTACGTGTATGGTCTATGTTTAGGGTTTCTGTTTAGCTTCAGAGTTAATAGCTGAATATCATATGCCTTAGAAGGCGAAAGTGTCTGAGAGGTACTAGTTTCTATGAGCTACTGCTATCTGAAGGCTTAGACGCTATATTGTCACGAGATCTGTAGGGCGTTAATTCTCCTGAGGTATGAGCAGTAGGGATATTTCAACAGTTCTATTATACAAAAATCTCTATGGTTTCGTAAGCAACTGCTCGTTAACAGAAGCCACGCTCAGGAGGAATCTCTATCTGTACGATACCGTGCGCTGAGAAGTGCTGTACTGTGACTGCTTTATCATTTAAGTTCAACGGTTTCATCATATGAACGATGTCCTTGGGGTAAGCAGTATTGAAGTCTCTGGAGTTCTGTTATCTCAACGGTGTGCCTCTCGAATGATATAGAGTGTGTGAAATGGCTGGATAACATTTAGAACGACTGTATAAACAAATATAATATTGGCCCGGTACTATTCCGTGTATTGTACACATTGGTTATCAGTATTATTATGCAAGGCTCTAAAGATTTAGGGTTATCTTATTTGAATAACACATTTACTTTCAGGGGTAAGATAACCATGAATAAGAGATATATAAGAAGCCTAAAACTTTACAAGTTCTTTGTCTGTGCCCGAATTATTTCTATATGAAACCATTGCGCCTCGGAGTTGTATAATATGGAGACCATAATTGCGTGAAACATATCTATATCACGCTCCAATACTGAGATATAGGGAATATGGCTACCTAAATCATAGTGAGCAAGATAAACAGCAAGAATACATCGAAAGTATTATTATATAGAACGTGCGGATGTTTGTCATGCTTCCTAGGTCAGGGGTTCATAATTTACGGTTTCGCGTGCCAGAATTTGAAGGGCAATATGTACTCAGAAACACGGCTGTGTGTTAAGCAGTACTATTTCAGAGGTTACCCTCATTTATGAAATCAATTCTGTGGAAGGTACTCAGCATGACAGCACATCTGTATAAACGATAAGGAAGATTTTCCCCATCCTTCTATAACAAGTATAGATATGCCTCGTATAATATTCTATGTACATTAGTACCACAATGACAGCAGAGTGTGTGAAATCTGCAGATGTGCTTTGAGTAATACTTTCTGTACAGTACAGATAATCGAGGTTTACCAAAAATTCAGGATAAAACTTGCCCCAGGAGTAGTATAACTGCAAGGGTACTAATGCACCTGGGATGTTCCTACTTGTAGTGTACAATCGCCAAAGGGGTACTATGAACTGAACCGTTTGGATGTACCTATAGTGCCTTCATAAGCGGAGTACTATTCTGTTTACTGTAAGGATATACCCCCAGAGGTACCCTGTCAATTAAACGTATGTTCCCGTAGTAATATTATGTCGTGGATGGAACATTTGGAATCCATTATTTAAAGAGCATCATTGGGCACACTGGAGGGATGTCTTCTCATTTTTAGTACTTTATTCTTGAGGGGCTTAATGTTTCAGCTACATTATAGGAAGCTCGCAGTTGTTCTGATTACAGTGATCTATCCACAGTGCCATTCTATGAAGAGGGGGAATATCCACAGAGTACTGTTGTTCCTGAGATATCAATGGGAGTGACAACATCGATATTGCTAGAACGGCTTTAACAGGGACATACTAATACTCATAAGATACGAACGAATGATTATTTTGGGGAAAAAAAAAAAAAGAAAATGAAGTGAAAAGAATGACCGTAATGATGTCTATACATGAAGAGCATTGCAACCTGCAAACAAACTCTCCTTTTTGCAAAGAGGAAAAAATATATAGAGTAGGAGCATGTAGATGACTTAGAAATTTCAGCGAACATGCACATGAAGAGAAACATGCAAAGGGAAAATAACAAAATGTGACCGAACAAGAACAAAGTAACTTAACGAATAACAGTACCTAAGGACATATTCACACAGAAAGAATCAGCGCGAAAAAGGGCAGAGCGGAACCAGTAGAAACCACCTCCCGTGACCTATGTGGGGAAATGGTCAGAGAAGCTGATTCGTTATGAGACAACAGAAGCGTTCACTGGAAGCCTCGATCTATTTTAAACTATATCCGATTATTCCCAGTTACTGGGAAATATATTTAAGTACGAAATTTCCTATATATATTAATTCCTGTGCTGAACTTTTTTTTTGTATTCGCCACTATGGCGTGAATTACAGAATCTACACCTGTATCTGTTGCACTAGGACGCAATGTCCTATGATTTCCGTCTCTTATTTTATGTGTGAAATTATATAATCATTTCGCATTGATTATTTTTTTCTTTTTTAAATGTTAACAGTCTTTTTAGACTCTATTTTATCCTTGTAAAAATTTAACACATTTTCTGTTGTAAATTATGGAGAAGTTACCACGTTAAATGTTCCGACAGTTCGTGTAAGATGTTATTTCTCGTAGTATTTCACATCGTAGTTATATGCATATCTATCTTGACGGGATGGGTCATTACTGATCAGAGTCGTATGACAGAGATTGCGTCTCTTTCTTCCATATTTCTGCTGTTCCGATTGCTCAAATGGCAAATCAGAATTTCTGAATTACTTGACTGACATGAATTCGATTACTTCTTTTTCTACTTGTTTGGGGATTATAAAGAAAGAGGCTACATGTGTTTTTTTCAGAATTCATAGAAGGCTGCAGATTCTTATGCATAATATTATTCGAGCTTCAGAGGTATTCATTAAACGTAAACGAACGGGAAGATTTCCGCTTTCATTGATATTATCTGTACATAAAATTGCAGCGATGTGTTATACATTACTAGCGAGTTCGCGATTTTCGAGTCGCCCGTAAAACATTCTTTGAAGAAAAAAAAGAAGGGAGAAGAAAAAAAGTAGCGAGGAAAGAGCAAAATTATATGTAATTTTAACAAGAGTGAATTCACTTAATATAACAAAAAGGAAAAAAGGAAAAACAGACGAATATTCATACATAAAATTAGAATAAAAAAAAAAAAGAAGAAAAAATAGGAGACTGTCCAATACAGAAACAGATATATTTACGAATTTTACGGATGAGCTCCGCCTGCATGTGCACAGAACTCCATAAGAGAAATAACAGATTTGCAGCCATCCAGCTACATTGGGGGAAGCAACGTCAATTATATTGTGCTATCGTTTTATTTTCTGTCTTAAAGAATTTTTTGGAAATCACATCCACATCTGACTCGTCCGTCAATTTGGACTATCCTGTTTTCAACTGGGAGTTCCCAGTATGGACAACTCGCCCTCAATTGTGCTATATATGCAAATGCGCGTACCCTGTCATAGTTTCAAATTTATTCCTACATTTCCACAGCATATAAGTCCTCCTATGCCATAAGATATGGAATCAGTCACTCCACAGGAGCAGCAGAATTTAATAGTTAAAGGTGAATTGAGTCGGCATGCTCTCATCTCTGGTCAATCTTGGTGCGTGTACTCTCGACATCAGGTTTATGGCGTGATGTTTTTTTTTTTTTTTTACCTGGCAACGCGTATAAAATCAATTTTAACATATCCCACGAATCATACAATTCATGTGGCTGTGTTTATTTTTTTTGCAATACTGTATGTACTTCTCATAATCCTGTAACCAACTATTCTAATTTTCCGCGTAATAATGTGGTATATCTTCCGTTTATCAATTCATCCAATTTTTGTGTGTTTGTGCGCTGCTTGTTTATTTTTCCATCGTTATGGAGTCTGTGCCTCGAATAACTTGCGCATTAAAGATGTGAATCATGTAATACGCGTAACTTCTGCTGCCGCCGCCAAAGTGATAGTCAGGAAGTAAATATGCTCTATGTAAAAAAGCGCATACCTATAGATTGAATTGCGATGCCTATGTAAAAATATAACAGAGGCATATAAGTTCTTTATGTATTTTCATCTGATTCTAATGAATGATTATTCTGTACTGCAATTCCCATCGTACATTTGTTAGTATCCGTGTAACAGCATAATGCTATAATGCGGGGATTTATTGTTGTTTTATCATTTTACTGTGGATTTCCCTGCCACGATTTATATAAAAAGTGACTTGCCGGTGTAATTGATACAGTCATGGATGGGATTATTTGTGTCTGTCTTTTCCTTCCTGAAATATTTCCGCTAATCCTGCCATTGTTACAATCTAAGCACAAGACATTACTCATGGTCCCTCTTCCTCTTGAGAAGTCTAGAACAATAACTTAGCATATGTGGTGTAGATTAGTTCTTATTATGTACTGTATTCTTATGAATATTATAAATCTTCCTTTACCTATGCCTGCATTGTTCTGTCTCTTTCATGCCTCCTAATGCCTTATATATAAGGAAAAGTGTGGAAACCTTGTAACATTGTCATAAATGTTTATCCTATCTAATAATGCAAACATTGATTCATTCTGGCATAATTCAATGTCTTAAATGAAAAGCATACTTCAATATTGAATAGATTCAGGATACTGTTACATACAAATGAATATTTCCACAATGAATCCTTTCCATTGAGGAAAAGTGTTCGATTTCAATTATATGACAATCCCAAAGAAGAACAAGGGATGCCAAGTTATTCCGGTAGTGATTTTTAAGCTGTATTATTCATGTCTAAAAAAAGAAATACTCGACTAAATAGTAATTCCTTAACAGTACCTTTTATACTTTGTCAAACGATGTCTAAAGGATTATGTCAATATCTGAGTATATTCATCGCCAATTCATGGATGCAAGAGTGTGTAACT